TCTTTCTAGTACGTTTTACCTAGTTTATAAGTCATTCCTAGTTTAACATTACTCACCTTGAACAATGATGTACGCAGTCGCATGGATGTTATCTACACTGTTAGTTGCAAAACAGGTGTACTCGCCACTGTCCTCCTGCTTCACGTTTTGAATGTAAAGTCCTCCCGATGGAGTTATTGTGACACGAGGGTCACTTGGTAAAGGGGTTCTGTCGCCTTTGGTCCAGGTAATTCGTGGCTGTGGGTGCCCAGTTGCGCTGCACTCCAAGGTAACACTCTCTCCAACTAGCACTTCGGTATTTTGTGGGTGAATCACAAAACTTGGCCGGGCTGTGAGAAAACAGCAATGCCTAAATCTAACATTTAACTCACATAGTACAAATTTAGCTGAATATTGCATTAGTTTGGGGAATTTAGGGGTTTTTTAATAGCTCTGTTTCAATATACTTCTAAACTTGGTGCAAACTCTGCCTCACTTTAAGCCTAATCTAGCTGCAGACATTTATAAATATCAGTAGGTAAAACATAAAGGCTCATATAATTGCACTGGTGTTTTTTCTTAACTCCCATGAAAACAATTTTCAAACATTTCCTTCTCATTTGCTGATCTTTATGAAGGTCTCTTCAGAGGCAGAGACATTGAGAACCAGAAAGCAAACTGGCTAAAAATTGCTTCAAGTGCACAAACAGACGAAACAGATTAAGCTACATTTTAGTAACTTTTCCCAGATACATGTGTGCTTTGCAGGGAGATCTACTTAACACAAAGTGTCAGAACAAAATTCTGTGATAACAAAGTTTGGAATTCAAAAACATTACAGCCCTGGACAGGAATTTAGTGCTTGCAAACACGAAGCCCTGGCTAGACAGAGATTCAGGCTTAGGATTCAGCAAGATTGGCTGCACAGGGTGTGCCAAAGCTTTCATGAGTGGCCTGTTTGGAAGCTTGTGGTTTTCAGGTGTCCAGAAAGAACATTATTGGACTGAGCAACATTGCAATACAACAGTCTCTTTTCCTAACTGTTCTACAAACAGCCTACATGACTATTATTAGAATTACACACCTCAGACTATAACGCAGAATTGTGTAAGAAAGATATTAACTGGCTGATTTGCATTTTTGTTTTAGGGATATTATAAATTCATTATCTAGTTCTTAAGATGCCCAAGCACAGGAAATCTATATGTCAAGAACATACAAGAGCCAACTTATTTTCAGGAATCTAATTATCAAACCAATTCTTTGAATGCAATATTCAGACTTGAAGTTCTTTACCTGGTGACTCAAAGTATCTAAGAGTAACTTCCTGAGTTTTCACTTCTCCAGCCACATTTTTTGCCATGCACTGGTAAATGCCTTGGTCTGTTTCTTGAGTGTTCTGAATCATTAATGTGCCATCATCTAGCAAGTTTAGGCGGGAGTCTTCTTTCATACTGAGCTCATTACTGTAAAGAAAAGAATCTGCTAGAGTTAAACCTTTAAATCACAAGCACAGAAAACTGTCAAATAATAAAACCCGAAATATATTATTCAAAATAACTTGGGGAAAATAAGTTTTGCTGTGTTAAGTAAAAAAATAGGACTTTTAATTTTCTCCTAAAGAGAGAAAAAGAGAAGAAAAAGTAACCAATTTTGCTTATGCAAGTATTAAATCTTCAAAATGAAAAGCCAAAATACTTTTATGACTAAAAGCCTACAGGGAAAAAAGTGAACAAAATACATATAACTGATCTTATTTTCTTTTAAGGCTGTTCTAACTGGCAAATCAATTTAAAGTGTTTCCTCTGGAAGTACTCATGTTGAACTCATGTAAGTTCAACACTCAAGATACTTTCTACTAGAAGAGGGGTAAGTTGCTATAAAATCACCTCTGTGCCAACCTCTGTCTGGATTGCTCAAGGAGTACTAAGGAACCTGATTATAATTTGTACTGACTTGACACATAAGTTAAGATCAGGTCTTCAGGCTATGTCATGGATACATTTCTGTGATATCAACTAAGAACAGTTAGGGGTTTTTATTAAAGGAACTGTCTTTCACTCCATCCCTCACTACATCATGAAGAAAGCACAGATGAGGGATGAGATCTCACCTTCTATGTACTAAACCCAGCTTGACTGCTGATCTATTCAACAGACTGCTCAACAGGTCAACGGTTTTTGACTGAAATCTTGCCATATTCAACTACCTTGTAAAGAGCCTTGCTCTCATTCATGCAGCCAGGAAACAAGCCAGAGTCAATAATCCCACACCCCAAGCTCAAGTTTCTTCTTAAAACTCTTTCATATGTATATTCTGAATGCATATTTTCTTTGTTTATTATAAAAAATACATGAGCCAAAGAAAATTTTAATGCAATAATTATACCATACACGTTCAAGGCTCTGTTCCTGACATACTCCATAAATGCTGTACCCTTACTGCACATGGGGTTCTTACTGACGTCAGCACAAAGCTACAGAACCAGTACTCTGTTGTTCCATTTTATCAGCAACTAACAAACTAAATTGGTTCATTTGCTAATATAAAATGTGAAGGAATTTATTTTCCAGATCAGATTTTCTATTTGCATAAGAGCATTATTAAGTCAAAGACTGAACAAACTAGTGGCAAACTTACCATTCATGTGCCCATTGTAAATTAACTTCAGTCTACTGGGGCAATGTGCTGCCATGTGGCTAGTTCAGCTGTGCTGTGCCCAGAGACCTGGTATGATCCTGCTTTGAAAGTAGGGGCTGCACTGGAGATCTCCTGAGATCACCTTCAACCTGAATTACCCAACAGTCCTGTGATATAAGCATTTGCCTGCCCTTCATGTACTGGTCTGGGGAACCTGGAAATTGATACACCTCCTGTCTTCTGGGATGGAGCCACATCTCGGAGAAAAGCTGCCTTTGAGGAGCTGGGGCTCAAGGAAGACCTCCTCTGAAACAAAACTCTTATCTAGCTGGAGTCCTTCAAAAGAATAACTTGCTCTGCCTCGAAAGGGAATGCAATCAGACCTGCATAGAATATGCGAACACTAGCTAAACCCATAGACTGCACAGGCAACACCTCCATATTGGATTGCCTGGTACTTACATACAAATGATCTATGGTTTTACAGGTGTGAGTATCTTTGCAAGTATAACTACAATTTAAAATCGTAGCAATATTATAGTCATAAATTAATATTTTCTAAAATTATCAGTTCTTAAGTGTTTACAATTACTAATAAAATAGATCTGGGCCATTATTACTTCATATATTTCTATAAATTATAATATGCTTCTGCTGTAACTATTCCAGCTGTTAGCAAGTAAGGTGTGTGGACATCAACTCAGAAATGTACACACACACACAGACACACACATCAGGTTACTCTCTTCCTCTTTTAAACTTACTTGTTTCGAAGCCAGATAATTTCTGGTTTAGGATTGCCTTCAGCTCTGCAAGTGAAGTACACTGTATTCCCTGAGGTAACATCCACATCCTGAGGCTCTGATGTAATTCTTGGCCTCTCTGTAGCAACAATAAAACATATAAGGAATGCTTACTTGTTTTTAAATGACTAAAGAATGGTAAATAAAAAATTTTCCATACACCATGTAGAAAAATATTTTTCACAAATGTTTTAACTGAAAATATTTATACACTTAATCATGACTAAATGCACTTGTCCCTATGCAAAAGCGTCTGTGGGCTTTCTGGCCTCCTTCTTTGTTCCTTAGGACCTTTTAGCAGACTGGAAATGGATTGTGCAAATTTGTATCAGGTTCTAAAGTAGGTGTTTTATTAATTTGAACAGAGACTCAATTTGCTTATGAAGGAAAAGCTTTAAAGCAGCAAGCCCAAGTGCCATTTAAAATAACTTCCTCTAGATAAGTATCAGTGCCTAACCTGCCTCTTACAGAATAATTTGTCCAGCTTGCTTCCTGCAGTTTCCATATTCAGTGCAGAAAGCTGGCAGGATGCCATGTGAGTTATTCTTGCATCAAACCTCATTTTTACTATCTTTTTCAAGAACCTTGTAGAAGCTTATGGTCATAATTCTCATTATCAGAATTATATCCAACACATAACCAAGAGGACAATTTGCTTATTTTATATATCTTCACCTCATCATGTGGCTGGGCAGGCAAATGACCTTCACATGATGAGAAACCTGCACTTTGGAACAGGAGAGGTGCTGGGACTGGGCCCCAAGATGCCCATGGGGCTCAGCCTGTGCACTCCTAGGCTGAAGGAAAACAGATGAACAAAAGAATTATCATAAAAGTGCTTATCCACTTATCCTTCAGTGACAGGATTTCAGTGCCAACACAGGGCAGTCCTTTTAAGGATAGCTGAGTGAAAAATAAATCCAGTGGCCCAATCATATAGGTACAATCATAAAGGACACCAAACAACATTAACATAACACCAAAGACCCTAGTTGACAATCCTTTTATGATCAAAACCAAAGTACAGAAAGGAAATATAAACTCTTTCTGGATAATCACATTTAGTTCCTCAGTGAGAAATTTCAAACATTGCTATATTTCTTTCATTAAAGATAGGCTGAGGGCTAAAAGCAAACAGTTCTGTCAGCAGCAGAGAAAAACTGAGAAGGAACACATGGAAATTTCTAGAAACAACCAATATTGACCAGAAGTGGTCAGTGTTCTTGAAGAGAACAGAAGAACAAATTCTAACAAAAAATTAAAAAAATAAAAAAAAAAGAAATACAGTCTGGGTAGACTTAACACAACCCACCACAGTTAAGTTCTTCTGGAGTTATCGTGGCCACTGATCTCCCCTGGATCCTTCGTGGATACTCACAGGTGGCTGCTGCTTGAGCATTACCCGACTCTGCGTACGTCTTCAACAGCTCCGCCAGCCACAGGATTTCACAGTCACAGTGAAGAGCGTTTGAATCCAAACGCCTGCACAGAACAAGAAGCAGCCACAACACCTGTTAGCAAGCTCTGACTATTCTGCTAGGATCAAAATGGTTCTGCAATAGCAGCAGTGCCTTTATCTGTGAATACAGACAATGGGGAAATCTCAAATAGAGGTGACGATCACTTGATTATATGCATTCTGGCAGTCCTTATTACAAAAATGTATATTACTTTTACTGCACAGGTAGGACTGTGCTCAACATAGCAAACACCTAAACATTTCTTATTTTAACCCCAGCATAGGTGAATAAGTCAAGTTTTATTTGGATGTTACACAAACTTTTCTTAAATAAGGAACATATACCATTCTCCTCACATTTTTTCCATTTAATATTTATTACTGTAGTAACTTCACAGCTAACCTGACATTTTTACAACTTCCCATTCTGTTGATCAAGCAACTGAGACAAAGGCCCACAGTTTTGTTTAAGCATTAAGCTCTTTTTGAGTTCAGTGGGTCAGTAACTTTGTAAAACACCTGTCTATCGCAGATAATGAGAACCCATAAATTCTGTAGACTTTCTAGCAGTGGAGGACTCTCTTACTATGTGGAGCACTGCACTTTCTGGTGGAGGGCCTTGAAGGAAAAAAAGAACACTAAATACAGAACTCTGTACGATTAAATATATCTATATATAGATTGGAAATAAAGTTGCATAGCAAAGCATCCTCAGTTTGGTGTATCTTTGAGGGTGGTAAACTTTTTTATTATTTTCTCTTTTAATATTTTTTTAACCTCTTCTACAAATGTCCAGATATTTTTTTCTTCCCTGTTGTCCTATGAAAAACAGGCAAGAACAAGCAAAACTATATTACAAGCTAGTGTAGAAATGTCTCCCAGTATATCAGAAGTTACGGGTAGAATTTAAATCCGGAACATGAAAGTCATGATGTGACCTTCAATGATAAGCTGTCTCAGGTCAGAATCATAGAATTATTTGGTTGGAAAAGAACTTTAAGATCGTAAGTCCAATCATAACCTGTCCACCACTAAACCATGTCCCTAAGCACCTCGTTTAGCTGTCTTTTAAATACCTCTAGGGATGGTGACTCCAGTACTTCCTAGGCAGCTCATTCCAATGCCTGATAATCCTTTTCAGTGAGGAAATTTTTCCTAATATCCAATCTAGCCTCCCCTAGAGCAACTTGGGGTTGTTTCATCCTATTGCTTGTTACGTGGGAGAAGAGACTGACTTTCACCTCACTACAACCTCATTTCAGGTAGTTGTAGGAAGCAATAAGGTCTCCTCTCAGCCTCCTTTTCTCCAGGCTAAACAACCCCAGTTCCCTCAGCTGCAACTCATAAGAATTGTGCTCCAGATCCCTCATCAGCTTCACTGCTTTCTCTGGACACACTCTAGCACCTCAACGTCTTTCTTGTAGTGAGGGGCCCAAAACTGAACACAGTCCAAGGTGCGGCCTCACCAGTGCCAAGTACAGGGGAAGAATCACTTCCCTGGGTCCTGTTGGCCACACTATTTCTGATTACAGGAGAGGATGCTATTGGCCTTCTTGGCCACCTGGGCACACTGCTGGCTCATATTCAATCAGTTGTCAACCAGTACCCACAGATCCCTCTCTGTCAAGCAGTTTTCCAGCCACTCTTCCCCAACCCTGTAGCGTTGCATGGGGTTGTTGTGACTCAAGTGCAGGACCCAGCACTTGGCTTTGTTAAACCCCAAACAATTGGTCGCAGTCCATCAATCCAGCCTGTCCAGGTCCCTCTGTAGAGCCTTCTATCCTCAAGCAGATCAACACTTCCACTCAGCTTAGTGTCATCTGCAACTTACCGAGGGTACACTCAATTCCCTCGTCCAGGTCGTTGACAGAGATGTTAAACAGAACTGGCTTCAACTGAGCCCTGAGGAACACCGCTTGTGACTGGCTTTCAACTGGATTTAAATCCATTCTCCACCACTCTTTGAGCCCAGCCATCCAGCCAGTTTTTCACCCAGCGAAGACACCAGGTCAATCTAGCCCAGTGTCCTGTTCCACTAACAGCCACTATTAAAAATCCCTTTTACCTCAGTATTATGTGAAGAAGTATCTTTTTCTGTTTGCTTGAACTGCACGGGAATTTAAGGGAGCTGTGAGTGAACCAGCTACTACTGCAAGGTGCATAGATCATTAAAATTTACTTTATTCTGCCTTTTGCCTACAGTTAAAGGTATGGCTTCACAACTGTCCTAAACCAGCAGGACCATCTTGCTGTTAAGCCCCTTGTGATCTCTTTTCCTGGTAGAGTTGGCGCTGTGACTCGCTGTACATCTTCAGCAGTCCTCCCAGAAAGGAGGCATATGAATGCATGACTGTCTTTCTCAAAATGTCAGTCTTAGATAATTTAAAAAAAGTTTATCCTAGATCAGTGGAGAGCCAAACTGAGAGACAGAAATCCCTCTGAAAGTCACTTACTATGGTACTCTTATTGAGTTCAAGTTTTCAAGTGCTACTGAGGGATTAAGCCTCTAATTTTCCAAGTTAATAGCATTTCAAGAACTGGCTTCTGGAGCTGCTTTTGAAAGTAATGGTTATATTCTTAAACCAGCGAGCACCTTTTTATAACCATGTTTTTATCATCAGATAAGGACAAGTAAAACAATTAAAATATCAAAATAAACAAATATTGAAAGACATCACAGAATGATCACCAAGTAGTACACAGAGAAGAGGGGGGAACAAACAACCAACCAACCAAAAACCAAAGAAGGAGCTGTGTATATTACTTGGTCTACAAAACAAAACCATACGATTTACATATAATTCCAATACAGGAAACAAACAAAAGAATTTAGTCAGTAGGACATGAAGCAATGGTCTCAATCTACGTACAAAAACAACTGGAGCACAGCTGAGGAATAATTATTTAATATTTACATCAATTACAAAATGAAAAGCATTTTCAAGGAAGATAAATATTGCAAGATGATACACAGTATAATTAGATTATTTCATTTTTGTTTAGTTCAGTAATAATTCAATTTACTTACAGTCTCTTCATGGATTCTAAGTGACTAAATGTTCCAGGAATCAAATGAGCTATTCTGTTGTTATGCAAAAATCTGTTAAAAAACACAGAAATATGTATGTAATGGTTCAGGTTTTGATACATACACATTTCATTTACATTCTCCTGAAATTCTTTTAAGAGAAAGTAATTTTACAAAAAAAAAAAAAAATTGAACCCTTTTCAGTAATTCATTGGCTGCTGCTTTTTAAGCTGCCTCCAAGATGTATTTGGTGTACTCATATGGGGAAAAAGAAGCCATAAAAAGACAAAGCAACTGAAAGGATGGGAGTTCATAAGCATTCAAATGATAAACTAATATATATATATATATATAAACCTTCTGTTTCTTCATCTATAACATTTATTTTATGCCAAACATAGATCACAGCTCTTCAAGATTCAGTTTTGAAACAGAAAAATACACCACAAGTAATGCTTACTTCTGCATTCCTCTAAGGTCAGCCTGACTAAGGTGTTCTCAGCAAAGAATACATAGTAGTTACAATTTAAAAAATAGATTATAAACAATCTATGGGAATGATTAAAATATTAATTTCCAGTGTCAAATATTTTGTTTAATTCAAACAAAAAAGCAAGCTGACTTCTGAATCTTACCCAATGAAAAACAAACTTACAGCCTTTCAAGTTTTGGAAGATGGGTAAAGGATTCAGGTTCCAATGTTTCTATTTGATTAAAGTGCAGATACCTGAAAATACGTTAAACAAAAAGAAAAATACTGAAACAGTTTTCTTAATGAAGCTGAAATATTACGAATCATTTGTTATTGTTTATACACTGTTTACACATCTAAATGGTGATAATGATACAGTGGTTTAACTTTTTTCTTATATCATCTGAATTCTGTACTTGAATGTGAGAAATAGAAGATGTGACTAACAAGAAGGGTTTGGGGACCTCTGCTGCGTGTGTGTGTGTCTGTGTGTGTGTGTGTGTGTCAAAAATATTCTGGTTGAAAACCATTACTTGGGAGTTTTTGGAGATACTACTTTGAACCCTCTTTTGCCAAGTTCACTTTTCATTAGTATGCATAGTTGAATAATTATATATGGAAAAAATAAAATTATTAGTTTTTACAGGAAAATGTTGCAGGTTGTTTAGAAAACATTTACAGTTTCCAGCAGAATAATACTTTTAGCAGGCTACTGTTTTCACTGCTATCACACTGAGTGAAAACTTCAAGTGATGCTGAGAAGTAACCTGCTCTAGTCCATGAATCCTGGCATTTAAAGCTATGAACACTCAAAAACCCAAAAGCCAAACAAATTCATAACAAAAAAGCAAGCTTGATTGAATTGTTTCTAGACGAAGGGCTTCCCAGCAATTAACCACCACAGCTGTGCTCTGATGATCTTTTGATGCTTATGTAAGCTATTAATATAACACAGTTGTTAATTCTGTGAAACTGAAAAAGTCTAAGGTAGCAAGATAATTAACCAGATCATTAATCTGCAGCTGCTGAAAAACGGACTGCAGAGGCAGGCTCATTCCAGTCTTGATCAAGTTGTGAAGAAACTCCATAACGTTGCAGATGAGAAAACAAGAAGTAATTGATAAAACTTGCACAAGGAACTGTGAAAATTACTTATAGACTTTGGATCCTGATTATATCCAAAGGTATCCAAATCTCCTAAAATTTCCTATTTGACCTCTGACAAACTCAGCAGCATCTGGAGAATGTGCATATGTAGAAGTCATGGTAGGCTGAAGCATGAAAAAAACCATAATTTAAAACTAAAAAATCTCAGACTCTCAATCGGAAAAATCAGTCCTTCAGTATGAGAAATAAAAGGATATGGGAACTCCCTTGCACCGAAACATTGCACGTGCTCCACTCCCTGACCTGAGCCGAATTGTCACCGCAGAGAGAGGAAAGCGGGAACAAGCAGCGATTACGGCAGAGTCATTGCAGTGAGCCCTGGAAGGCGCGTGCAGCAGGGAAGCCAGGCACGTGCCTGGCAGTCCCCCAGATCCTCCGCCAGCAGCAGCATGGCCTGAGTGCAAGCCAGCGAGCAATGCCAGGGAGCAATGAATGGGGAACACAGAAAAAGCCAATAAATCAGCACGGATGTGATCAGGCACATCAGAGTGCCAAGTCTGCCTACTGCCAGTGCAATGTGTGGCCACAAATTGTAGTGAGCATAGAGCATGATCCTGTTTGCATAAGGAAACAAGAAGTCTATAATCATGCTGTTCCTGCCAGTCTTCATCTCCCTTTTGAAAACACAGGCCAATTTCATCTAAATTAAAAAGACAGACATCTCAAAGGCAGCTAGCTACTTCCTGCAAGATTCATTTGAGAAGAGAGACTGCAGTCAGGCCCAGCCCTGAGGAAGGACTGGCAGGACTGGGCCTGTATCTGCTCCAGGGACAAGGCCTAGCCATGAAGTTGGCAGTCGCAGCTCCCCAGGAGCCAAGGCTCTGCTCATTCAGCTCCCCAGCATGATGGAACAAAGGGAAAAACCAGACACAACAATAGCATTCGTTACTTCTTCTGAAACAGCTTTGATTTTTGAAAAAAAATTACATACACTACTTCTGGTGCAGCCAACCAGGATGTTTTCCTTTTTAACTTCGCTAATTCTTCATGAGTACCTTGCAAACATATCTCACTCTCTTCCCAATAAATCAATATCTTGTACTCCTTTGGCACTGACAAGGTAAGATTTGTAGGTACAAGTAATAATTTTTACTAGAGCAACAAATAAGGTTGGGGAAAGCAGGCACATTGAGGCACACAGTCCCTTCTTCAGGTCCAAGGATCAGAGGTGAGATTAGCAAAGAGAGAAAAAGAGAGGACACCTCTCTCAGATGTTTAAGTGATATATCACTAAACTCAAAGCAACAGCTCATAACTGCTGTTTAATATAATTGCAGATGCAAAGAATAGTTTATGTGCCTGAAAACTCATCTCGTTTTTCCAATCAAATTGATCAGCCTAATTAAAATAATACTTCTGTTATAAACCTTGCCTTCTTTACAACCTCAAATCATCACACATACCACTAATAAATCATGCACTGAAGCAAATTATAACACTTAACTTTACCTCATCAGAAATCAAAGTAGCCCAAAATATCAAATCATTAAGTCCAACTGGAAAATACTCTTAACTGCTGCATATGACAACTTAGTTGGGTCGTGCAGATCTTTAAGTTATGACCTCAAGAAAGTTCTGAGCAACTTGTCAGGCATTTTATGAATATAATAAAGTGTTAAATATGTAGGCAAAGTAACTGACAACAAGTGTAAATCTATAAAGAATAAATGCAGAAACCAGATTGCATTGTAAATCTACAATAAAATGAATAAAAAAATCCTTGGCTTTATGACCTACGCTTTAATCACACTTTATCACTTAGGTTTATTATTTACATTCTTTTATTGTATGAACCACTTTAATGCTTTTTTAAAAAAGGATTTTTAATATTTTAATTGATATGATAATTTGTTGGACTGGTAATTCATCTAAAAGGTAATGATATTCAGGAAATAATCTCACTCTGTTATGACTTTATCGACATCTTTTATGTTCAGAGTATAAAACACTTTTTAAAAAAGTAGTATGATGTAATGAATTTGATATTAAAAATAATTTCATAATGGAATCAAAAGCAAAAGCATGCAAGAGTGATTTTTAAAGACCCCTGTGTCTTTCTTTTTTAATTCTGAATTCATTATCAAAAATGAAACAGAAGAAAAGGAAATACTTAAAGAAAAAAAAAGAAGTCCAAACCAAACACACCTACAGGAAGATAAAGATTTGATCAGATAGCCATGTACAGATTTTCTCTTTGTTATTACTAATTTTTGAGGATGAACATGTACAGCAGAATACAGTCCCAGTGGCATTTTTCACAGCACTAAATTTAGGATTAATATTTTGAAGATAATTACTTTTATCATATATGCCAAATGTTCATTTCTGATGGTATCTTCATATCTTCGGGGAAGTACTTAAAATCTATTACTAGAGCACAGTCTATGTTCTGAATATTTAAATAGCATGTTTGCTATCTTGATTATTTGAAAGAGAATGAGCAAAAGGATATTTTCCACATTAATCTAAGAGCTTTCCTTGCCCAGGGCTATGAAAAAAAGTATCAAGCTTAAAACCTAAGAAAAAAGATTTAAATTAGATGTTACAGTAACAACATAAAATACTGGAACAGGATACTTAAGGACATTATGGAATCCTCTCTTTAAAGAGTTTTAAAACAAGGCTAGGCAATTATCTGTTTCCAGACATCTATGTTTGTTGTTAGAATAAGAAGGGTATATTTCAAGATCTCTTTCATACCTTTTGTGTTTGTTTGTTTATTAATTAATTTTCTTTCATTATGCTTTATCATATGTATTTTTAGCAGCAATGAGACTTTAATCAGGATCCACTGTCTTAAATGTGCATACCTGTTCATTTATGCAAAAACCAGGAACTCTTTGTAATACAAAATTCAACAAAAAAAAAATCGTAGCAACATGTGTTATGATTTCAAGCTACTGAAAATTGAATTGAGGAAAAAAATTAATAGAAGCTGCAACACTATATGTAAGATAATGTTTTTATCTATTATTTTCCAAAAAAATATTTACATATGTACAGAAACTGGAGCATAAATCTAAAAACAGCTTATAAAGAGCAAAATTAGTATTTTAATAGGAAAGTTAAAAGAAAATGCATAATTAGTATTCACTAAGATTAAATAAACAGATTTAAACTAAACCACTAGTTAAGGACTGCAGAGAACACTTTTTGTCCCTGATACCTACAGCTCTTAAGCTGAGATCTTAAAAAATATTGGAAGAAAGGCAACATACAAACATCTAGAAATAAGACTGCATGTAGAGCTCAGTCTTGAGATCTAGATACAGCAAACTCATGACCTCCTACACCAGGTATTTGTGACATTTCAGATGGGATTCAGTTGTATAAACACAGTCATACAGACGCATACAGCAGTTGTCTGAGTGCAAGCATACAGAGGCAGCTTTCGCTGCCTTTCAGGTGCGCTGGCTGCCTCCCAGCTGCTGCTGAAAAAAAAAGCAAGCAAGTTTCCTGCAGGTTTGGGTTGCATTTGCCAGACCCAAACGTATGTCTTGGAAATTCTAGAGTGTCTAAGCTGGTACTAAGCAGCTACTTTTCATCAGTCAACTTTGATCCCTTCATGCCCTGCCATGACTGAAGAGTTAGGTGATGAAATAGGTATGGCTCAGTGTGTTCGAGCATCTAAACTGCCAAGTGTTTAACAGAATTTACTGTAGCACAAGTGAGTTCAAGATCTGATTCAAAGATCTTACTCCTTTGGCAGAAATTTCTGAAAAAGATATTTCTACTACATCAGCAGCTAAGAATCCTGCTGCAGAGGTTTAAGCATGATCCTGCCAGCAGCAGCAAGTGGTTTTCTGACTCCCCTTATACATGCAACAGGCCTCCTAAATCAAACTGTATTTACAGTTTCTCTCTCAAAAAAAACCCAAAACTGAAAACTGTTTGCTTTGCTGTTCAGTTGTTGTTGTTTTGTTGTTAGCTTTTTGTTTTTTTTAAAAAGCAATTATCAGCTTCATTCTGCTTCACTGGACTAGAAGAAATTACTATAAATCAAGTCCTCTGTGAGATGCAGGCTACAGTATCTCCATCTTAGAACTCTGCTGAGCATTGAGAAGAGCATTTAGTTGAGTCAACACATCCAGTAGCAAAATGTGATTAGTAACTTGAGGCCATAGAAGCCTCTAATGAAGAAACATCATCTGAGTAGTCAATACAACCTGTAACTGAAGTTAGAGGACTTGGGAACTTGTTCACTAAGACTTGTAAACACAGTCTTTTTCCAAAGATAATGTGACAAAACAGGCCAGGGTCAGAACCTATTTTTATGCTAAAGATGCATCAATGACAAATCTTTCATAAGCTCTTACAAACTACAAATCTCAGTGAATACCCTCTATTAAATTTATTTTAGGCCTGCCACTGGCTTCCTGTGCTCACATCTTCCCACCTGGCGAGTCTTCTTTTTCAGATCAGCCCAGCAGAAGGGCATTAAAAGAAGTGAATTTTCTGATGTGCACCCAGCAGGGCAGCAACGCCGGCAGCTCAAGAGACCAGGCATAGGCGCTGCTTACAGCAACTGACGCCATGACTCAAGGGCAGTCACTGAGCAGTGACCGTGCTAGGCTTCATTTCTGTACTTTCCAGCTAGATATGAGGCTCAAACCCTGCTTAAAACTTAATTTCATACAGAACAATGTTGATAACTCATGTTAGAGCTTAAGCTGATGCAGTGAGATATCACTGCAGGCAGACAAGCTTAACTGCAACCTAGCTGAAAAGTACATCCAGAAGGTGTTAATATTCTAAAGAGATTTATGGTTTTCAGTCACAACATTGATCAACAGGACACAGCACAAAAGACAAAAGGACAACTGTTGCCACTTGCAGCATACCAGGCTTGTGGTATGTGGATATTGTGGTTTAATCCAGCAAGCAGCTAAAGCACCACTCAGTTCATTCACTTGGCCTCCCCTCCTCCCTCATGGGATGGGGGAGAGAATCGGGCAATTAAAAGTAAAGACTTCATCAGATTAGATAAAGACTACTTATAATTAAAACAACCCAAACTTAAATAACAGTAGTGCAAATTAACTGTAACAAAAATAGGAACAACGATAATAAAGCAATCAAAGTTACACTCAGCTCACAAACAGCAGCCACTGGCCATACACCAACCAAAACGTGACAAGGGAAGAGTAAGCCTCAGGAACTGATACAGGCCACCATCACGAAGGAGAAGGGAAGTGACTGAAGGGGCCAAAGGGACAAAGAAGAAGGAGGAAGGGGTTGAAAGGGGTTATTGCCTACAAGCTCCCCAATTTATAGCGAGTGTATGTTTATGGGATAGAATACATTTTTATTGGTCAGCTTGGATCACATCCAGATCATCTGTTCTGGGTCACCTATCCCACAGTGTCTCAGGCTTTTGCTTCCCCCATTTTCTCTTGTGCAGAGAGAAGGGAAAAAAACCCAAAAAAACACCAAAATAAACTGTAACCACAGGTGCAGATGAAACCTTGAAAAAACGTAAATATCTGCCAGTGAGAACAAAAACAAAAAAACTTATCACCTTCATATGGAAAACAACCCCATCCCGGCCAAAGCTCCAACACTGCAGCTTTCATTTAAAGGGAACTCTACAATTCAATCCCAGCAAAACCAGGACAATGGAAGAGTATTGTTTTGGAAGAGTTGATAATCCAATAAATGGGCTTCAATATTTAAAGTCCTACATAGCATGCAAGTAAGTGCTATTACTGCTGTCGATATGCTGCAGTAATCATTTTTAAAGTAGGAGGAAGAGGAAAAGAAAGGCATTAAGAAAACAAATGATGTATTTATATATGTTTTATAACTATCACTTTTGGTTTATATAGAAGCTTTTCCTTCAAAAGCCATTTATTGCCTTCTAAAATGAGCTTGTACGATTTTGTACCCATCTGAACTATTATTTTATTTCGGATACACATTGTGTGCACTAATATCCACTAGAGGTTAATAGTAACAAGGAAATTGGTACACAGCACAGAAAATTTGTAATTAACTGATAACTATCAGGAGTTTCAAAATTTGTATTGGTCCTAGAAGAAAGATGTTCAGCCCCCTAAATTTGTATGCTACAAAACTCATTGATCTCATACTGTTATTTGGGAGTCAAACTGTGTAATAACTATGCATTTATAGCTATTTCCAGTTTTCTAAACATTACCACAATGAATGTATAGCAATACTTTCTGATTATAAAACAAAATATAGTTAAACTTAATGGAATCAATACAAACAGTTTTAGTCATGCTAATGACTGCATTTTTCATTCTTTTGCAACAGAAATTATTTCTCAGTCATACAGTCAAAGGAGTATGGCTTCAATCAATCTTTCTAGAAGACATTACTGAAATATCTACATTTCAAACAATGAATCTTCTTACTATTTAAACATCTGTATATGGCAGTGATTAGCACAAATCAGTAGGAGTAAGGTTTTGATTTTTAAATCTCTTATTTAAAATATAACAAAACTAGGTTAGACTACAAAAGACTAATTCAGCTTTAGTTATGCTGGCATAAAACAAATTAACTGCTGCAGTCAAAGTAATTGCAATGTTATAAAACCTACAGAAAAGAAATCAGAATCTCTCTCTAAGCAATACACATAACATTTTCCACAATAACGCTACTTCTTTGTCAAAGCTATCTAACAATGTATAGAAACACCGGGAATGCAAATCACAAATAAAAGACAAACATAGAAATGAGGAATTTGACACAGAGATCAATTTTGGTTTTCCACATGCAAATGATTATGAGACTCTGCCTAACAACCCAGGGAGTGCAGACATGCAGAGCATGCAGGCAGGATGTACGGATCAGGGCGTGCACTTTTCCTCTGCAGGGGAACCATGGAGATGACAGCACAGAAGAGAAAAGGCACTTACAGTTGTTCTAGAGAGGCAAGTCCTTTAAATGCTTGCCTGTCAATTGACTGGATTTCATTCTTGTACAAATAGCTGAAACAAGAAACAATCAGTAATATTAGTACACAAACAAGAGCTACATGAAGGTGGAAAAGAAGAATTAAGTTGACACATGAAGACGGTTTTTCAACTACATATTAGAAAAAAAAATACAAAACAAAACCTAAACACATACACATAAAAATACTTTGTCATTGAGATTTCATCCCAAATGCTTGCCAGGGAAGACAAAACTCTGGAGCCTTGTAGGCCCTGAGGCTCTCAACTGGATGGTCTTGGGCTTCCCAGTGCTCACTGTTATTACTTACTGTTTCTTTGCCCCTCAGTTTCTTGATGGGCTTGCCAAAAGTCAAATTCAACTTAATGGGAAAGAATTGCATCAGAAGTGCCTTTACCAGAACACCCCAGGGATGCCATTGGTCTCTTATTTTCTTTAAAATCTCATCGGAATAATGGTAAATATTCAAATTATGATGAAATAAGTCTTTTTACTGGACTTGGAGAACAAACAGTGAGAATTTCTATAACTTTGTCTGTGTCACCTTTTGAATATTTACAAAAAATACAAGTTAATATTGGTATCGCATCCATAAAACAGCATTGTATATTTGTTTTACCACTGTGTAGAAGATGGACATTAGGTCCCCATTGATACTCTATAATATAAAGAGAATAAACATATGCAGAGTACCAGTATGTTCACATGTGCTGCTTATACGTTTCCTACAGAATTCAAAGAAATCAGGATGGATCAGTGTATGTGGTCACGTTCATCATGCTTTTAACAGTAAGGATGGTTTAGTGAAAAGGTGTCGGAGAAAAATCACATGGTTTAGCTGGTGACTGCAGTTCCTGCATGGAGGCAGCAAATTAAAATACCGCTGGGGTTCAGTGTCAGTCACTCTCTTTTTGTGTTAGGTTAGGAACAGGTTTGCAGTAAGAATTTTCTCATGATTATTTGACAAACTATTTGAAACTCAGTTAATCAGGCATGGATTTTTATGAAAAATGGATGAAGACACTTTGGACCACAAATGGCTTTATTAGCAGACATTTTATTAGTAGTGGTTTTGGCTTTTCCATTATTACAGTTTTCAGTAATTTACTGGAAATATTGCAAACCTCTTTTGATGCAACAGATAAAATACTGACTTGACAACAACTTGCACCATTTCTTCTCACTCCTTAGAAAATTTCATGGACTGAAGAGCTAAAGCGTTATTTACCTTTCTTAACACACTCCACTTGGCAGTGTGGAAACCTCTTCCTCTGAGCACAAACATGTCTGATCAGACCAGTGAACCACAGTGGGTTAAGATGCTTTTAATATCCAACCTCAGTTAAGTATCTCTTGTAGGTATTGGATTTTATTCAAAAAAATCTAAATTAACCCAAATTTTGTTTAAGTTTTACTAGAATCACTCATGTAACTTTTATTTACTTTCTGCAGACAAAGTAAGGCAGAGTGAAAAACAAAGGTGGGTTAGAGGAAGCCTGGGATAAAGACTTTGTAGTTTTACAGACTTTTACCACCATACTGCAGTGAAGGGAGTAGCCCTTTGTGTCCCCTTTTGGAGCTCTTACCAAGTTACTGTGGTGGGACTTTATTTGGGATTCAGCTTTAAGCTACAACTTTTTCCATGCTGATCAGAAAACCCTCAGCTGCAGGACACTCAACTGACCTCAGTCCATCATTACCCCCTTCACAGAGAAACTCCAGCAACCCCAAGGCTACAAAAAGTATGTCTTATGACAGATGTGTGAACCATACTTTCAATTAGCTGTGTAGACCTTTCCCTGAGGATAATAACAGAAAGAAAAATATAAAAATATTTGCCTAATGAAGAGAGATGACAGAATACAACATACAAATAAGTAGCACTCAGAAAAAAGCTCAGAAAATATTTTTCTGTATCTTCTCCCTGAATTCTTTCTTTTTATCTTAACCTTATTTTTATCCACTGCTGATTCTAAATCTTCTAGTAACATACATATTAAAAATATAGTATGTGTCTACCTTCAATTCCCAATTACATTCTCTTGGGGAACAAATTGTTGATTTTCAGGATCAGATTATGCTACCAAGTTTCCACAAACCTGCCTCCATCTATATTATAAGTTTGGGAAGCTTTTCATTTTCACCTTTCTGTACTACCACCTCTAGCCAGTAAACTGAGTCACAGGAAGTCAATTAAATATCTTTAGCGTACCATATACATCATGTACACTTATACATCTTGTATCAGGATCAACAAATTACAAACATATGACCTATTATTTTGCTCATATGAAGACAACTTAAAGTTTTAGTTGTGAGCTTTTACAGTATCCTCTGCAGAAGGGAGAATGCAATACCCCAAAAGAATATAAAGAATCACTAAAGTGCAGAAAGACACTGTATTATGGATGGAGGCCAAGCTACTAATGCCTTTTTGATCCTTAGTAAAGAACCATATTGCCAACACTAAGGTATATGAAATAAAGACAGACAGAAAGGAAAAAAGACTTAATGAAGAAGTATCCTCTTGGTTTCATAGCAAAACAATAATAATTACATTTACTTCTTTCCAAATTTTAGTATTGAAAGAGAAATTATTACCACAAACAGCACAACTAGATCATGCAAAACTGTTTCTAGAATTGTCAAAATTTAAATTACATAAAGAACAAGATAACAAATAATCCTGAAAAATAAGTTTCAAAAATCATATGTGCATATTTTTATTTTTATAATGTAAAGACCAACTTTTACAATGCTGAATATTTTTAATGTACAGAAAATTGAGAAAATATTACTCTCTGTCAAAACTTGTTCTTCAGACAGACAATTCTGAGAACGCATATACCTCAGAAAACTCTAAGCTCTGTTTCAGAAAGAAATAATATAAAGAAGCATTTGAAAAATCTAAGGTTCCTTTGACACTTCCTGAAAAAAAGTTTTGTCTGAAAGTACAAAAACTGATCTGCAGCAGAGATGCAGGAATGGGTTTTGAAGTTTCTCCCTCAGATACTGGCGCTTTTTTTTAAATATGCTGTATTGTTTTATACTCAGATATTTTATCTTTAACTATTTATGGTTATATATTTATACAAACTTACATACTCATGTTCACTAAATTATGTATTTTATATATACTTGTATTTTGCTAAATCAAAGCCACTGAGAAATAACAGGTTTTCTAAAATTACTCAGTGAACTATACATTTTCAGAACCATCTGCAATACAGTACTTCAGTTCTCACAAGAACAAAAGTAGAATCATGGACCAATGATCTCATTTCATGAAATACGACAATACAAGTAAGGTTTGCAAATATCCGTAGGATCAGGTCATACAAAACCTCAATTATTCCAGATGTTTTGGCTTTATAATATTAAATTCTGAACAATATTTTAACTGTCATAAACTCTCTCCCCCCTGATTTCTACTTCAGTTGATCTTATTGGGAAAAAAATGGTCTGTTTTGTTCCCTTTGTTCCACAGAATAGAATTAGCATGTACTCAGACAAAATTTTCACAGCTGAACTGTGTTCATTTGGTACATTTGAGCCTTCTGTATTGATACCTGACCAGTACCAGAATTTTTATAACTTTAAAGCTGTACAGTTTAAAGCTAAATATTTATATCACAGTCATTGAAATAGGCAAAAAGATCTTCTTAAAGTTTATTTTAGCAAAATGAGAGGCAGCATTAAAGAAGAACTCTCTGCAGTTGAATGAACTATCATATTGAACTTTATATTCTAACTTTCCAGAGAACAAGAGGAAAAGCCCTTCCTCTTAACAATATAGATATAGATGAACATTGCTATACACATATGAAGACAAATCAGTTCAGTTCTCTCTTTTCACTATTTTATTGAACTGAACAGAGTGCATAGATGAGTTTTATCGCAGATTTACAACAGCTAGGCAAAGGTAAGCATGTGAAAACAAAGAACAATAAGGACCAAGTAGCATTTCTGCACAGTTGCTGACTATGGAAAGAAGCTTAGCCATTCTGACTTAGTAGACCTTACATACTCCACTACCTGTTCTACCACACAAACACATCTTTCAACAAATACAATCACCATGGACTTCCATAATTCCTTGAGGACAGTCTACTCAATATTCTTTTTCCTCCAGTTGTATATAAGCAATTTTATTATTGAAAGACAATACAAATAAAAACGAGACCAAGAAATGCAATCAAACACAGCTTGGAAAAACAGGATCTGTGTCTGTATAAATTAGTGTGATTTTTACTTTCCTCCCTCTTCCCACCTCCTTAGAGCCATTCAGGTTGCATGCTTGAAAACTAGATGGAAAATTGAGCTTCTGAGTTGTCTCCAACACAAAGAAATCTTAAAGTGGGCATTTTTTCTGTATAGCATTCAAGCAATGATCAATACTCCAAGATGAGAGTGAAACTTTTCTACAATGTCACTTCATAAGGTGGACTCCAGAAACTAAAGCTGAGAATCCACAACAACTTACTGTTCAGCTTTAGTCTTTTACACAGTTAAAAGTAACATTTTCCTGATGCCTTTTGTTTATTCAGATATTAATACACATGATATACATGTTAAAAATGGGACAAATTAGTCTTAAAATGTACAGATTCTCTGAAGAAATAGAACTTATGGCAAATCATAGAGGTACTTTTCTATTTGACTTAATTTTTCTTTTACATATTTATATTGCATTCAGTGAACAATCTAGGAATACTTAAAAAGTTTATATAAGTTACAAGCCTCTGCAGACAAATCTCAGACTAGCTGCTTTTAAACCAGTTTTCAAACTTAAAAGGTACCTGTATGAAGTTTTCAGTGAACCTTTCAACATATTCCTTTAAAAATTATCTTAAATTGCATATAGTAAACAGCAACTAGTAAGTCCTTTAAAATCTGCCTACAGATACCACAGCCTTATATTAGCAGATCTCAAAACATCTACTTACAGAAACAAAGATTCACAGTTGCCCCACCCCATAAATTAATTTCACAGATTTTCAAAGCAGTTTATTTCCTGATAAAGTGAGTCAGATTAAATACAATATCAGAATGAAACACTCTCCCATTGAAGAAGTTCAATTACACATTAATGCAAAAAGTGTCATTCATGTAACTTACAGATATTTCAGATTTTCAAGGTCTTCAAATGCCCCGCTAGGTATTCTTTTAATTTGATTGTTGTTTAGAAGCCTATAAAAAAATAAAAAGTTGTTTATTTTAATATATAGGAACAGTAGGGGGGGGAAAGTGTAACAGCAGGTCTAATGTAGCATTTAAAGGAAAACTTAAAAAAATAACAAAACAAAAAGCTTTTTCCCTTAGCAGTAACTGTTAGAAGAAAAAAAGTGTCATGCTTACAGCAGCTCAGCCACTACTTCACAGGAGAAAACTCTGGAAAAATTAGACAGAAATTTTAAAAAAAAAAAGGAAAAAAATCTAAAAACTTAAATAACATGGGGTTTTTGTAGGTATCTGAGATGAAGATGAAGGGAAAAATAAATCTTGATCCCAAGTCTATACCTAGAGTTGAAATTTATAAAAATGATATTAACAAATCATTAGCAGGTACATTAAGGCGACTTTTCCCAGATGCTTCTTAGCAATATTCTATGTACTGGGCCCTTTATGTCATACAGAAACACAACTGTCAGTGTTCACAGACTAGCACTGATCTCTCATGCAGTGGTTTTATGAAAAGAAGGGAACCCGAGCTTAGTAAATTTCAGTGATTTGGACAGTTAAAACTTGAAGCTGGATATCTGACAGAAATTGTAATTCAAAACTGCAAACAGAGGCATGATCAAAGGTGACTCGAATTAGAGGTAGCTAGTAAAAATGTCCTGGTAGCACAGACTTGGACAATATAGTTTTGCTATATCATTTCTTCTGGTGTGACTTGTACTGTACAGTACAAGATGTCTCAATACATTTGCTGTTATGTGCTTGCAGGATTTGCAATTCAAAGCTCACTGATACCACGATTGTACTTCCATACATACACTGCTTGTGTTCTAGAAAACAGTCAAATTGGTAATCATAAGTTATGTACATTTAAAAGTAAAAATAACTGTCCTAAAATGGACAGATTATTTTAATTCCTCCTTGTGTCTCCTAATATATTAGAGAACAGAAACATGCGTGCATTTGTTTCAAAAGTTATGTTTGAAAGAACAGCAAAGGACAAACTAACTTAAAACTGTAATACAGATACTATTTGTATGACGAGTTTGTAAAAAGTCTTTTAGAAAACAGACTTTTTTCATAAAATATATGGTAACAAAGACCTCTATAAGAGGCAGCTCAGTAGCAACAAAACCTTCCAACTTGTACCAGTCCTGGCAAGCCCATTAGAATTGAAAATTTCAAAACATTGCTTGAAAATATTTGTTAACTGCAAAGTATATGCACATCTGAGCCTTTGAATGCTTTGTTGTAACTCCACAATTTATTATATGGCATTCCACCAAAGTAATCTAGCACAATTTGGAAAAAATTATACAGTAAAGGTCCAAATTTTTCACACCTCAAATTAAAGAATGTAAATAAAACATTGGGACGTAAACAATTTCCTTTTTTATTTTAAGAGACATATACTCAGTTTTGCTTTCAAATACTTTGGGCCTAAGCCCCAATTCCTTCATCTGATTTCCCTTACAACTAAAATCTGTGAGACTACTTACCCATAACAAGTGAGCAAACACAGCACATTATCAAATTAATCACATTAAACCAAAAAGGGAAAGGGCCTTAGGGTTGAAAAAGAACTTACAGTGTGTTCAGGTTTTTAAGCCGTCTAAACTCTCCAGGCTGGATTTCTTTAATCCTATTGAATCTTAGGTCTCTGTAGAATAAAGAAAGAAGATCATGTTATAGAAAATCTATGTATTTTTTAATGTGAAAAACTGACCTCAGCATAAGTCTTTTGTGACCACCGTGACCAGCCTCTGTCCATAAGCCATAGCCTTTGACCAAAGGAGAAGGCAAAACAAATCCAAATACTGTTTGACAAGTTTAAGCAGAGGATTGACTGAATCCAGCCTCGGTGGTCAATGCTGAAGGCTGTATTTAAGTTGAACCTGGAGTCATGAAGGATGTTCTCTTCCACAGTGAAGCAACTCATAAAGGGATGTTGCCTTGTATTTCACTAAATTGAATTATCTCTGTATTTTAAAATCTGCTTGTAAATAATACACAAAATAAAAATGCTTGTAAATAAACAAATACAGAAGAATTTGGATCAGAAAAAAGCTCAGGGAAACAGAGACAGCTTTCAAGACCTTCAAGCTATCCCATTAGTTTGTTTTAGGTTATATGCCTTAAGTTGCTTTCTTTTTTTAAACTGCTTTTAAAACCTGCAAATCCAGTTGCCTGAAGCTATTTATTTTCTTATTTAATTTTACTTTCTCCGAGTTAATTTTCTGCCTGATTACCAAACTGAATGGGCTTCCTGAGAGGTCATAGAAGTGAGAGAGAGACTACTAGGAAATATCAGGACCAGGAGAAAGGCAGGAGGGCAGTAGGTCTGTCCTCTTCCCTAGCAGCCGACCAGAGACACCAAGACCACATGGTCTCTAGCAAGTGAACAGAAGAGAAGCAAAAGGAAAGTAAGTAAAATCTGAAAGACTGTGATCAAATTATTGCACTGTCCTTCCTAGAACCCACATTTACCAACTGTTTTCAAAAAGTAGGATATAAACGCATCGGATCTTCAATCTTAACACCAAACCCACCCCTAATTAAAACATAAATATCCACTGTGTTTCACAGGTAATATGTTATCAAGAAATCTCTCCAGAATTTGGTACTTAGTCAAAGCAAATACAGAAAAGCAGACAAAAAGCTGCATACTAATCCTGTATAACCCCACTGGCTGAGGTTGTACATAATGGGGGGTACAGTTGCCTGAAGTCTTTTGCAAAGAGCATAGTTAAGCATCATTCCTCATGAATCAGCCCATCGAGGCTTATTCAGCTCTGGAATAATGGTCTCAGAAGGACTTTTTCTACATAAGTGGTTTAGGATGTTTCCTACTGTTCATTGTAAGGAAAGGATTAGACATGCGGTTCTGTTTGCGTTACTCTGCACCAAAATATTTGATCAGTGACTGGAATAAATGAGGGATGCAAACTGTTATCCCTTATTTAGATGAGTAGTTAAACTGCCTGTAGACATGCAGGACAGCCCCCTTACTCAACTCCCAGCTGAACTGAGGACTTCCAGATTCAGAAGCACAAATTGTCATAGCTTGAACTTGTTTTTTTACAAAAGCACCTTCTTTAGTCATAGCCGAAGAGCGTTACTTTTTGTTCACCTCTCACACAAGAAATTCTTGAAATACAAGAATATCACACTTGAAGCACACATGCACACATGTCCCTCATAAGAAAGAGATGCTGTCTATGAGACACTGAATCTCAGGTGCTGAGATTTTCTAAAGGAGCATTGAATGTCGCGGCCTGCACTGAGAGAAGATACAGCAGGTCCCTCTGTAAGCATCATTGGACATGACATTCCACTCTACTGAGAGCTTCTCCTAGATTATCTGAAAGTTTATTGCATTTCAAGGAGGCATTTAATTTTTATTAAAATAATCAGAAGTACAAAGAAACAGTATTTGTGAATTGAATATTGAAAACTGAGTTATTTTCAAAGCTTCAAAATACAGCTAA